TAATTATTGGATGTAAGTGTGCCCAATAGGCTGGATTATTAGAATTATTTGCATATGGTACGAAATTCTCATATCCAGCTTCAGCATTTTTTACCGGGTCTTGTTTCAATTTTTTCTATACGACGTTGTTTTTCTGCGTTTGTACGCTTAGGACAAATTCTTTCTGAAAAAAAATTTTCCTCCGGAACTGTTTTAGTAAAAAAAACTACGTCTCTAACTACTGCGTTACTTTTTTTTGTAACGCAGTGTAGCAGTTACGCAGTTGTAAATATTTGACTAAATTGTAAATTTCCAATCTATACCGATATTTTTACACTCTCAACCTTCGTAATAAAAAAATAAGTGAAATATCGTCGACGTACGCCAAACCACCTCCTTCACGGACGGGACGCGACCACGGCAGAGTACCCCAACCTGTGCTGTCGTTTGTTAAACGAGTTACTAACGCAATTTCAACCTTCCATCATTTTAAAGTCTTTTCTACCAAGGTTGTTACTCGTTGGGGACACAGATACATTAATTTTTTATTTTACTAAATCTTCAATTTAAAACGTTTCTATGCCATTCTAATAGTCCAAACCTTGCATTTTTATTTACACAATTAAGCACTAGGAATGAGAATTGCCGTTTGGCACACTGCCAGGGACTTTTAGTATGAAAAAGGCTCGTTACTAAATGCAACTTTGTTACTGTAAATTTTCAATTAATAACAATTATTTCAGTTCAAATCATGTGTTTTGTATTAGATAATAATGTTAAATTTTAAAATATTTCTATTGTCACAATTTTGTAACCCACTCGCATTAAATGAATGTTAATTCCGGACTGGTTTTTAGGCATAAAAAAGTATTTTGGCCCTTATACTATCAATTTTCGCGAGTTTTTCCGCGTAAAAAAGTTATTTTGGGCATCAACATTTATTTTTACAAACCTTCTCCAAAATATAGTTCTTAATAACGACCATGTCCACGTCCCGTCGTTCTTGCAAGTTAATCATAAAAGATAGACATGCACTGTCGCTGACATTTTTCTAGATTATTTGAAGTTGTTACTACGGATTAAAAATGTTATAAAATAACAATTAGCTATAGAACATTAAATTTTGTTTATTGTGTAACCTTTAATAATAACATTATTATTGTAAACAGTTTTTTTTTGTTTTTATAGTTGAGTGTTTACCCAAAACAATTTAGACATTTTATGTACCTACTAGGCTAAGATTAGTATCAATGTCTAATACGTAGGTGTTTAACTTAACAGTTTGGCGTAGTGCTTCCGTCGATTGTAAAGCATAAAGCTTTAGTAAACACCTAGGTGTCGATTACACGCCTAGCTATAATCAATGACGGACGAGTGCTTAACGCAACTACACAATTTACACGTTCAATTCATTCCAAGAAGATTGGAAAATAGGAAAAGTAACGTACATAAAAAAATATATCCAGCAATTGATATTATAGTCGGCCATCTTGGAAGTGTATCTTAATTCTTTTTTTTTTATGATAGAGGTTCACATGATGGTAGGTGAAATAAATGGCTTTAAATATTCGGAAAGCCAAGTAAAGCCAAGTTTTTCCAACTATGATGGTGGTTCATGACATATAATATGTAGATTTACTTACGTCCAACTTCAAAAAGTTCAGAAAAATTATAAATCGATTAAAAAATGTTAGTCCCGGTGGAAATCGAACCCACCGAGCCCGTCTTTATTCAAGCACTCATGCGCATAAATAGTAAGTTATAAAATCTCAGGCATATATGTTCTTAATTTGAATAGCGAGAAAACAAAAGACAAGTCTTGTTAAGTGACAAAACAGGATAGTACATTCTCAAGACATAGTGCAGAAGATGGATGCAGAAGCGACAAATCCAATTAGCTGAGACTGGTAAGAGGATTTCTAGAGATCTTTTCTTCTAATCAAAAGCACCGCCCATGGAGACAAAGAAAATATACATGTAAATTAAATTACATGAAGTTTTTAGCAAATATACGAAGTCACGTGTTATGGTAGCAATGTATAGCTCATCAACGGGTCGTGGATTCGATCCCCATCGGGTCCAACATGTTTCTGAACAATTTATAATTTTTCTGAATTTCTAGACTTCGTCTGGAATCTGGATACTAAATGGACAAATACTGTCTATAGTTTACGTGAGTAGTACACATTTAAATAAAACATTTAAACGGTTTACAACGCGATTGAATCGGGCCGAAGTTAAACTAATATCGCGTTTTAAACCGTTAAAGTGTTTTATTTAAATTAAATGGACAATCGAAATTCCGTCCGGGTCACGAACCACCGTTCACAGATGAATAACCGGTGAAGTTGAATGGCGTTTCGGTTGCAGTCTCTAGATTTATATTCAAGGCCAATATAGGCCGACAGTGCATCTTGTTTAGAAGTAAACCCCAAGCTTGTCTGTCCTGCGCTACCATTAAAAAGTCTTGAAATCGCATCTATGTACTATTAAATTGTATTTATTTTCATTTACTTTCTTCTTTAAATACCACAGTTTTCAAGTACCGGACATTGATCGAAGGAGAATGCAAGTGTTCAAACACAAAACAAATGAATGCATGATTCACCGAGCCAGTGCCCCTACTGTTTCTGTGTATACTCGTACGTTAGTATTAACCTATGTATATAGCTATATGGTAGAAAGACATTTCACAGATAAAAAACAACAGATTTTTTTTTCAAACTAAGATCGACTTAAGTCAATACATTTTTAATAACATCGTAATATTGTCTATGTTTGAAGCGTACACTTTACAATAAAACACTTGTGACGGTTAAATACTCATTTATTTCGCGTTTTAAACCGTTGTAACCCCAAGTCATTTTCATATTAATCTATATTCACATGTACTATCTTATATTGTATAAAAACCATATCTTTATGATCCTAATGTATTGTCTATATTTTAAGCGAGTACGCTTTCGACTAAAACACTTGCAACGGTTAAATACTAATACATTTCGCGTTTTAAACCGTTAATTTTGTTTTATTTAAAGTCACGTCACGTTGACTAAAGATTTGATGTGAGCTTAAGACTGGGACACGTTGAAATCTATTGTTTTGCTGATGTTTAATTTGAACGCTGTGTTTGAACCATAAAGTTTAGTTTGTTTTGGTTTAATTTGGTCTAAAGTGTTAATCTATAAGTGGGCATGATGTCATCAGAATGAATTACTTTCATAATTATGTATATATGAAATAAAACAGAACGGATTAACAAAGGCGTAGTCAGAATTACGTTTATAAAAGCCCATATAAGAATTTGGTGAATAAAAGAATTATATTAAAACAAAACACTGACTTCATATTACTTGCAAAATAAGTTGGGGTCGCCACGCATCGATATGGTAAACTTACATTTCCCCTCGATTTAAACAGAGTGTATTTTTAAAAGGCCGACCTTATATTCGAATAAATAACATTGGATTTTGTTTGACTTTGACAGTTTCTTTACAACACCAGGCCGATATATAGCTGAATTCTATCTAAAAATTATTATGATTATTCTACTCCATTACAACTGGTTACCAGATGTCACATGCTTCGCAATTAACCACATGTGTTAGATCATTGCTCTTGGGAATAATATAGACAAATCCATAAATTCCTTATATTTCGTTTTAGTAGATCCCATATATATCGTCTTATCAGTGAAAATCCTCACCTGCATGTCTGTCGTCTTATCTATCAATCACCAGTACAAAATATATACGAAGCACCGTTAAATACTACAGCTAAAGCAAAGACACACAGCAAGGCAACACAGATAAAACGTTCACAATCAACAACGGCCAATTATTAATGTCTTAACTACGTCCGAAATTCTCCTAACAAGCCGCTCGTCCTTCACTAATAACCAGGATACACTTAACACGATTCGTTGTTCGCGACGGCCGCGCTCGTCTCGCGAGTCTTTGTTGTACGCGGTCCAGCGCGGGTCGCCAGCTGTACCCAACGTGGACTGGCGCGCGTCTGGCGCCACGATCGATTTCGCTAACGGATTTACATTATCAGAAATCGGGAAAGTTTTTCACGCGTGCATTCTAGCGGGCCGATCGGCGCGCCCGCACGGCCGTAGTGCGCGCCGCCGAATGCCGCCCGCCCTAGACCCAGCCCGTAGGACCGTCGTACGCCACTGCGCGTTTTAAGCCTTTAATACTATTTACATAATCATTTAAGTCTTTCGATTACATGTTCGGAGAACGTGTGGAGATTTTGCTACCGTTGTGATGTTCCGAGAAGGATAAACATTTAGATTTCGCGAGATTTATCAAAATAAACCTGATATTGGTCGTAATTAATAGAGATTCAAAAATAGGTGTTTTGCACTTAATTTTGAGTACCTGAAGGTCGGTATTGTGGGTGGTTAGGGTCGAGGTGTGGTATAGGCGCGGGGAAGGGACGTGAGACGTAGGAGTATCGATTTTGACCACCCCGCCCGCCCCTTGCGTTGCGACAGTGTGAGTGCGCTATGTGAGTCTTCGTTGGGAGATGCCGGATGGCATGGGTGTTGAAATTATGAACGCTTTGTTTCTTTATCTATTTAACATAATTTATCGAAGTCATAAACCGTGCTCTGTTCAAACAAAACAAAGGAATTCACTAAGATCCCATAATTTTTAGTATATTAATAATATACTGGTGTAGATCAAAAATATATTTTAAGTTCAAAATTGTTTGAAGTAAGAAAATTAATAAACTTTTAACTAATGACGTGTACTAGATGAAGAGACGTCCCTATAGGTTTGTGGTAAAACGTGGCGATACGGCAACCACTTGTGGATTGTAGAGCCTTTCCAACCTATTGTAAAACCTTATTAAAATCCAATGTAGAGAAGCTCTCAAATTAGTTTGAATAGTGTTACGAAATGCATTGTAGCATCCAATATAAGTAAGAGCTATTTTTTTAACTATCCTTGTAGATGTTATGTATACGTAAAATGAAAAAAAAATTATACATATATAAATTAAAAACTTACCTGTCGTCTGGTTGTTGATACTGGGACTGCTGTTGGTAGTTCATGCGACGTCCGTAAAGAGACGCACCACCTTCCGACATATACCCATCCATCATGTCATTGTTCCGCGCATTATCCATTTCGTTTACATTAATCCTCCTTAGACAATCACCATCAGACATATATCCAGAGGCTATCTCCAAATCACAATAGTCTGGATTCGAAAAACCTGGATTAAAGTTTAAGCGCTCCCGAAATCCAATATTTTCCCTGCCAAAATTAGGTTTGACAGTGTTCGCGTGATGAGGATATGTTGTGAGGTTATTTTGTGACAGGCCCGAAGTTCGCATGGGTAATGTAAGATGGCTATTGTATCCCCGGAGTAAAGGCCTCATCGGCATGACATTCATTAATGGGTTATCGTCTTCACCCAAAGAATTATCTCTGCAATGCGACGGAGTACTTGAACGACTATGATTTCTATCACTCTCAGTCAATGTTCTGTTATGATCAACCATTTGTTTAATACCAGGACTATTTAAAATTCTGTTCTGCGCTGCTTGTTTTTCTGAATGTTCTGCTTCATTTATAACATCATTAATGTATGTTGCATTCATGTCTATTTTTCTATTGCACGTTATGCTTTTCGATATTTCAGATCCAGATTCACTCGATGGTCTGTATATAACACTACCGTCACTTGAATTTGATTGCTGTCCAGTCGTACTATGAGTTGAATTTGAATGCGAGCTTTCGGACATTTGGGAGGATTGCTTCTCAACATTGTGTTGGTGATTACTTAGGACAGGCATTGGAGAAACCGCTAATGTTTGCTTTTGAGTGGTGTCCTTAGCCATATTCGATTGTTCACGCGTAAATGGTAGTGCACTTGTTGAATTTAAACTTGAATTACTTTGTATCGGACTTAATTGACTATTTGTACTCTTCTGTATTAAATGCCTTTCATCTTTTGACATTTTAGTTGTTCCTTTAACCGCAGCTGTCGGTTTGGGTATTCCAGTATTGTTTTGCAAAGGTCCATTTTGTCCTCCAGTTGGTGATGGTGACTGTGCTTGATTTTGTGAATTTTTTACATTGTGAAAGCCATTTTCACTTATTTTCGACTCTGCAGTATCTCCCCTTGACTCGCTTAATTTCGCCTGGCTACCAGATAATCTCACCATTTTTGATTCTAGCTTAGATTTTGATAATCTAGAATTGTCTTCTATTACATTTAATTTAGTATTACTAACGGATTTAGGGGTCGCTAATTTAGATTCTTTATCGCGTGTCGACAGTTTTGGACTGTTCTTTGAACGTTCGTTATTTGTTTTACCATTAGTTTTACTTACATTTGTTGCTGGGTCTTTAGTAGGTTTTGACCCTAATAATTTTGACTTAGCATTCTTTCCAGATTTATCTCTCATTAATGTATCATTCTGGAGTCTAAGATTTTTTGGGCCTACTATATTGGATTTGATATGTGTGTTTGGGGTATTTGGAGATTCATTTAAGCTAAGACTAGAATCAGACCTTTCACTTTTCGCAGAAGAAAAGCCACTGGAGGAACTTGTTCGCTTTGAAACAGCAGTGCTTTTACTTGCCTGCTTTTCATTGCTCGCCTTGTCTTTGTTGAATAGTTTCAATTTATCAAGCATTGATTGCTTCGTTGGTGTGCCATTGTGACTTGAGACATTTTGCGTTTGTTGTGGGGATTGTGGTGAGAAGGACGATGGTATTTTACTGCCAGGTGCTAAAAGTGAAGAATTCGGTCTAGACCTGGAATAAAAAAAACACAAACAATATCATAACGTTATATTGTTCGATTCCATTATAATATCGTTGGATAATAATAGAGTATTTCTATATATTCTCTTTAATGATCCGAAGATTAAATATAAAACATAAGAGTATATATATATTTATATTTGTGTCTTAAAATCTTACCCTGATGATGAACCTGGTGCCCTAGGTATGAAGCTAACAGCCCCCTGTCCCAATGGACTTGTTGAGCGGCTTGAACTCGCTGATAAACCACTTTTTCCGCCTGAAAGAATAATTAAGGTTTAACGAGATTGCGGTATGTGGTATACACATCATTACAATTATTGCTTGAATCTTTACATAAAAAATACGCTTGATATTTAGTAGCTTAATTGGTCAAGCAACGGTATGGTAAGATGTTGGTCGTGGACCAGTCCAGTCCCTCGTAAATAATTCTTTATTAAATAACGTGTAATACTGTCTGTAAACTACAGACAGTATTACACATTTAAATAAAACACTTTGATGGTTTAAAAAGCGATATATATCAGTTAAACTTATTTGTAAATTATTTCAACTACGGGCCAAGACACATCTCCTAGTGACCACGGCTGTTGCAAAGCATCCGAAACATCAGGCCAGTAGTTGTTTTAATTTACATATAAGTTTAACTAATATATATCGCGTTTTAAACCGTTAAAGTGTTTTATTTAAATTCTTCATTATTTCAACCTAATATTAAATAAGTTATAGCAATCAATAAACATTTAATACACTAACAACAGAAAGGGCCGCCTGCTCAGCACGTACTGATTGGCAAAGCCGGGGAAAATATTTACCACGTATATTCATATGTGTTATCAAAGCCAATTTTATTTTAATCTAAGAGCCCTTGCGCCCCTTTAGAACTATTTCATTTAGGGGACGCCAGCTGATCGTAACAGGCCCTATAAAGTTGGTCCCCACTATCGATTGCACTTAGTTTAACAAAATAATAATTCTGACGTCACGCTTACGAGCAAACTGTCCCGTTGCATTTATTAGGTCGATGTTTGTCTATAAATTTTATATGATGTTTGAAATCGACAAAAACCAATGATGCACAAATAATTTATTGATGAAATGTACACTTTAATGGTATTGGTTTGTTAAAAATGTATTGTTTACAAATAAGTCATTGTGCACCATTTTAAGAATGCATACACAAGGGTACGCCATTTTAGTGTTTTGATTTTTTTTAATATTTAGAAGCCACGCGTCCTGTATGATGATGTATACGGTATATTACAGCATCCATTTTTTAAAATACTGTCTGTAATTTACGCGATTAGAACTCCTTGGTCAAACATCAGTCTCCCCGTGACCACGGATGCTGCAGCATCCGAAACGCCGAGCCGTAGTTAATATAATTTCCAAATAAGTTTATCTAATATATATATCGCATTTTAAACCGTTTGAGTGTTTTATTTTAACATTACAATTTTACAAATGCATTTACATACAACAATATAAATACGAACTTTATCGATTCTAGACCCGTTTAGATATTATATCTACTGCTAAGATACGTATATGTAATACAAGAAGTCGAATTCCAATAAATTAGAACAGAAGAATGGAGAGGAAGTGGTGTGCGTCATCAGAACGAATCAACTCTCAATCAACGTTCTCCGTCCGCTCATACCATATTCGCAACGATCCATCACTTTGACCAACTAACAACGCTTCACACACTATCTGTTCTACACGTGGCCGAATATTTATCTATTGAAATAATATGTAAACATGTAGTGAACTAATAAACTATAACCCAACGATATATTATGTGGAAGACAAAAACAACACATTTTTCCTTATTTCTAAAAACTGCATCAGTTTATTTTAAGTTTGACTTTCAGTAATTTATATAACACTTATGACCCACACTATTAAAACGGTATATATTAAAATTGGCTTAGTTAGTGGCTAACCGATAGATACCCTCTCTGCAGCTTTCCTGTGATCGGGTCATATATTATAAGCACTTCGTAAATTACTAATAATAAATAGAACTTTATTTAACACTTCGAACGCTTTAAAACGCGAAATGTATTAATTTGATTATTTACAATTTGTTTTAATTACAGAACGACGTTACGGATGCTTTTCATTGAATGTGTACATACTACTTTCGCAAACTATAGATAAAAAGAATCAATTTTTTTCTGTATATTAAATACAAAATAATTAATTTAGACTTGCATACATGTACTAAAAGTTCTTCAACTTCAATATTGTTATATTATTTCGAGCTCACTATTATTAACTTAATACATCTGCGGTTTGATAAGACGACGGATACAAACGTGCCCCTAAGTCATCAATTTTATCTCAACATAGACTCGATTCAATAATCTTATCTCTAAAAATATTTGAGCTAAAAAAACATTGAGGCAAATATTATATCAAGCGTATGCAATAATACCCAATACTTACGAGTAATCACTTAGCACAAAATGATATTAGACAAGTGTTCGTCTTGCCTTATGCACGTCAACTGGCGATGCACTGCACTAAGACACACGATAGTGCTAGGCCCCAATAAATCTGAAGATTATCGCTGCTCATGCGCAGGAATCATAATAACTAGTGTTTACATTATGTCGCCAACGGATATGTCTTATTAAAGCGGCATAAAAGTTTAAACAATTGATGCCATTTTTATTATAAAGCTTTTGTAAAATCAGTAAAATAATTATATTTAAAATAAAATCCTTGTTTTAACATTACCATGTAAATGATATGCCTTGTATACCCACAGTCTTTGTCAAAAGAATATAGGACATCTTACTAGTTGAGCAATGCTGGGACAAGATGTTTTTCAAATGGGTGTTTCATTGAAAAAACGACTTGTCTGGGTAAAGTATTCTAAAAAGATTTAAATTCAGAATTCACTTAGTATTAACTTCTAATTTATTTAACTTCGAGTGATTGTAAAGTCAAGTATATGTAAAGATTTTTATCAATTTACTTCTAACGGACGCGATAAATTGTAAATAAGTTAAGTAAGTAATATATTTCGCATTTAAAACCGTTAAAAGTGTTTTATTTAAATGAGTAGGTTCGCATAAACTGCAGACTGAAGGTACTCAATCTACCAACACTGAAGGAGTCTCGAAAATAGTTTTGAAGTAAAAAACAGAAGACTTTCCGCCTGCAAATAGATCATTGCACTGTAGACGCATTAACTAATTACTAAATTGAATTGAACTATCCTAAAGCTCGTCTGCTTGCTACAAATTCACTTAGCTCGGTTACTGACCTTTTTTTTCGTGAAATTCTTGTTATTTATCTTTCGTCTTTAAACTTTATCTAAGTGCATTAGAATATTTACAAATAGTTAATATGAAAAATGAAATCCCGTTTCCCCTCGAACACATTTCTGTGTCCGTTTCACTGATCGGTTTTATTTACAGGCAAGTAGTTGATCAGACTTCTGTGCCCTACCCGCCCGAAACATTTTATTGTGTCCCCGGGATTCTAACCCAGGACCTCTCGCGCCTAACGCAATGCTAGGGAACACGTTTAACCATTTAGCTACAGAGGTTAAATAGTTATTATGTTAGTTATTAGTCTCCCCGTGACCACGGCTGCTACAAAGCATCCTAAACGTCGGGCCGAATTTAAAATTTTTTTTTATAAATTTTTTTTTTTTTTTTATATCGCTTTTTAAACCGTTAAAGTGTTTTAGTTATTATGTTACTATGATATATTTATTTATTTTGTATTATACAATAATTTACAATTATAAAAGTAAAAAATAATTTTCAATATTAAAATAAAACACTTTAATGACTTATGTCTTCCGTGACCATGGCTACTGCATCCGAAACGTAAGGCCGTAGTTACAATAATTCTTAAATAAGTTTACCTAATATATTTCGCGTTTTAAACCGTTAAAGTGTTTTATCTAAATGTGTACTACTCGCGTAAACTACAGACAGTATTTCAATTTGAATATTTTACTTTCTCTGTAAGATTCTTAGTATCCATATATAAAAGTATTATTACAGTTCTTATCGCATCTAAAAGTCAGTTTAATCAACGTTTAGTCTTGTCATTATATCTATTATGTCATAATAGTTTTGATAATAATAGTTCAAAGCAATCAATACGCACGAAGATGAATCAACGAAATGTTGTAATAATAGATTTATTATTAAACTAGCTGCGTCGGCGACTTCGTCTGCTTAAAATAGTTATTTTGGCATCAAAATTTGTTTTTGCGAACCTCTCTTTGCAAAGTCGTTCTTGCAAGTTAATCTTAAAAGATTACTTTTTTCGACTATTTAAAGATTTCAAATCATTCTGTTGTACAATTTTGCTGGGTATCTTGAAGCGTTTTCGCGTTTCAGCGTACGCACGGGAAATATACAGAAGAAATATACATTTCCACATGTCACGCTGTTTCTTCGCTTTTATTAATCACAGCGCGATGTTTTATAACCCTTCGCGATAAATACTCTAACTAACCCAAAAATAATTTTTAATCGAACCTGTAGTTCCTGAGATTAGCGCGTTCAAACAAACATACTTTTCGGCTTTATATATTAGTATAGAATATAGATAGTTATTGTCAAATACCTTATAATATTAACTAAAATTACTTCAATGTATAAGGGTTAAAAAAATCGCGAACAACAGCAAATGACTCGAACCGCCATCCACAGCATTCCAATACTGCTTCTCTAACCAATTGAGCTACTGTTTCGTGACATATATGAACATAATTCCCTCTCGTGCTTTGAAGCATACGACGGGGTGTACTTCAAAATTAATTAATTAAAACGTTTGCGTTTGAAATCGGTAAAATTATCTTCTATAATAAGTGTAATTCTAACATGAAAGTCAACATACCGTGAAGAGGAGTGGCTGGCAGCGGTCGTTTGTCTGGAGGTGCCCGTCGTACGGCTGCTGCAGATGCTGGTAAGGGGATCGAGGTCTGTAGCACTGACACTTGCCTACGACAAAGAAATGTAAATATGAAAATATGGACAAACTCTATATATGTATACAATATGTTTATAATTTGCGGAATCCTATTTGTAAGTAAGTGTGTATTGAGATAATATTTCCATGTATATTATGAAGTTCTTTAACAATCGTATAGCTATGAATTTAAATTTTTAACATAACATATTTCACTCTCTCGCACCACCTCTTCTCGCTCACATCAGCCGAACAGCCCGAAAGACAATGATATGCTGAACGATGGCCGTGAAAGCCTTACACAATTTACTATTA